ATCGTTTATTACTCGCACCTTTTGCTTGCACTGACTATTTCAAATCTCAGACACAAGTGATTAACGCGATTCCTGGAAAAACATAGTACGTAATTCCTAGAAAAAATGTAAGTCACTGCGTCACGATTCATTCGTAATTTTCGCACAGTCTTAAACGCTATGGAAAATTTGAGTCTTTATGAAACAAAATCGTGTCAATTTATTCTATTTTATAAGGATAAATATATGAACGTTTTAATTATATAAAAATTCGCAATCTACTGATTATATTATACATTTAATATTGAAATATTTAAATTAATAATATAAAATATTAAGATATTTATCTATTCATATCATTCATTTTCAAGAAAATCGTAAGAATCTTAATTTTTATTAAATTTTATAAATATATTTGATAGTGATAATTGAAATATTGTGAGAAAATAATTTATAATGATAGGTTTAATTAGCTGTTTTATAATAAATTTTTTTTTTTTTGTTGAAATCTACCAGTGCTCAAAACTTCAATTAAATTGGTCATCTGAATATCTTGCATTCTCTCATTACGAGAATTTAATTTAGAATTATTTGCAAGCTGGATTACAACGAGAGTAAGTAATAATACGAATAAAATTGTAATTATAATAATTGTTGTTTTAAATACATGTTACAAGTTATGTAACAAATGTGTGAATATTTAAGATTGCTAATGGAGCATTGCTTGTGTACACATCAGGGTGGTTTTTAATTTCTGTTCTTTCTCCTACATCTAAGAATAGTTCCAATTTATTCAAGAATAATACAATGCAATTTAAATTTGTATTATTAATTTTCTGGATGTGGAAAATAAAACAATTGAAAAATAAAAGCTTTTGTTTTTGCAAAAAAAAAAAATGAACACATATATAATATATACATACAATATATGAATCTTTTAAAATCCATATCTTATGAAATGCAATCAGAAATTCTTTCATAGTATGAAAATGAATTAATTAAAAAGAATATAATAATTTATAATTTCTAAGTAGAAAGTACATTACGTATTTTAAATATGCTGTTGTCAAATTATTATGTAAAATTGAACTGTTAACTGGATCGTATTTAATTGAAAATTTCTTTTTATCATGAAGCAATTAACATAAGCGAAGTAATAGACTCTTAATTCATCATGAATGAAAAAAGTTTTGGTTTAATCTAGAAAGAGTTAAAAAAAGAGATGTAAAAAAATGATAATGGAGAATTAATAACAGTAATAAAGTTTTCATTATATTAAAATGATATTAAAAAAAATCAGAAAATTAGTCAACTCGTTACGTTGATATTAATATTATTAATATAATTAAAATTTAATCATTTTCTATCTCATAAATATAAATAAATGGACGATATCTTATATACATGGTCATCAAGAAACTTTTTAAATTTTAAAAACTTAAAAACGCAAAAACTTTTGTACAAAAATACCTATAAACATTGCTCTTTTATAATTAATATAACAATTAGTTATCGTTTTATAAACGAGAACTAATCTCAGAAAGAAAAGAAATTCGCAACCACCCATGACTACAAAATCATTACAATATATATATATACATATAGCATATTCTATAGTCGATGATTTCACTATGATATAAAAACAAAAATCCAAAATAAAAATTCTTTATCATAAATTTGAACATTCTTTAAAATTGATGAAAAACCGTCTGGAAAGAGTTGAGTCCACGTGTAAGAATTTTCAAATTTAATTTCTTGGAACAAAAGAAAAAAAAAAAAATAGAAAAAGAAGTTTATATTGACTTTATAGTCTACTACTTTTTGATTTCTTTTTTTCGCATAAATTCACATAAACTCATTTTGAGACTTTATTATATATATGGCATATCAAAGGAAAAAAAAAGGAAAAAGAGGAAAAAAGAAAAGTAATAAGAAAAGGTATTCGTGAGACGTAAAGAAGGAAACACGGTCCTGTTCTCTCTGCATGTCATTTTACATCCAATATGTCACGCATATTCAACAACGCACTTGTATGAACGAAAGTGCGCGCACGTGCGTGTATTGCATGTTCCATTATTTCCTGTTTCAGAAATTTTATTACAGTCGTAAGTTCTTTTTGAAAATTTATTATTACAAACGTTGTACGCTGTGTATTATTACATTAGATGAATGTAGTATCAAATTGTATGCAAATAGATAGATATACTTTTGTACAATTTTGCGATATTGTGTATACATATGTCTATATGTAGGTAAAGAAAAAATCACCGCTTAAAAATATCCGTATACTTGTATATTTGTCTCTTTGACAACATGAAATTCTCCAAAAAAAAAAGAAAAAATAGTTTAAATCATTTAAATTTTGACAACCGTTTGATTTGATGTTGAAGTATATTATTTACAATATTTTTAAATTTCTTTTTCTTTTAGATTTTGTGGTAAAAAAATCGAATGATCCCAATTTTTTAATATCGTCATTATTATTATATAAATTACTCGATCAAAATTTATTGAATTTCTCTATGAAAAAAAGAGAATATTATTTTATTATACTGATAAATAATTTACAATTTATCCTGACTTCGATATTATTATAATTATTATTTCTGATCGTCATCGTGTCATCAATTTTAATATTCGTGCACTGTTGCCACAAATCAGCCACAAAGTATCCGGATATTCATGAACGGTAATGTATACCTTGAACGTGTACGGTTACTGAAAGCATTTTTTCATCTTACTCACGTGCAAAGTGTTTTTACTTGCCAACAACCTCCTACGAGCAGAGTAATTGGAATTTATTTTCCAATTAAAGTGAATAATGATAAATATCAGACAGAAGACATAAGAGGTCCATACTTTATTGAAATAAGTTATAACGTAAAATGTTCTCTTCATAAATTTACAAGTTAAACGTGTATTCTCTATACATATATATATATGAAGTTTTTTTTCTCAACAGTGTACACTATTTATGCTCATCAGCTATTAATTATTAAAAATAGATTCCGCTATATTAGTATTAGAATTTTTTTATTCTTTTATTTAAAATACAATTTTAAACGTGATTTGATGCTTGTGCAATATTCAATGTGTCAAAAAAGGAAATGAGAATATTTTTCATAGAAAAATCATAGTTATTACAAATTTTATTACACAAGTTTACTTGCATCCACTCGAGTTCTACATAGTGTTTCTGACTAGTATTTTTGCATGATTGCTCTCAGAATTTAAAACTGTGCGTGGAATATAAGTATGTTAATTAGATCCTGCAATTAATCTCAGAAATCAATTGATTTTTTTACATTTTCATTTACACATATTCTTTTTTTTTTTTTTCAAATTTGATTTAAAATTTTTATTTGTAGAGATTCATTATCGAGGATTAAATCATACTGATTTATCTTGCCAAACAAGATATTAATTGAAATTATATTCTAAGAGATATGTAAATATAATTAATGTGAAATTAGTTGGCTTTAAAAAACATCAAACATCTCTTCTTCAAAGAGAATGAGATAAATAGGTTCGAGATGAATAATTCTTCTTTTTGTATCTCGAGTCATTAGTACAAACTTTACTTCAAACAACATTTACCTTGAAACATGTCGTGCAAGATGAAAGTTTTGATAAGTTTTGATAAAGTTTTGATAAGTAGTTTATCTTTGATTAAGATACTCCTTCTTGCATCATAAAGATACGTATTTCTCATCTGCAAAACATATTCTAATTATAGAAGCTTATAAAATGGATTATCAACACCTAAATTCATTTATATTTATTATTTAACATCCACTTGGGAAATTTTCATTCTTGATTCTGTTTCCATTGATCAAGTTGAATTCCACACCTTTTATATTTTACCTTTTATATTTGTCATGCTTATTATAAATAAAATACACATCTATTTTTATTTCTCGTAGATATTCAGTGATTCAATATTATTGAGAATGTGTTTCGTTAAGTGTTAAAGACCATTATGATTATGCAAAAATCGTATAATGTATAATTGTATCGTGATAAATGAACTTCATGTGTTTTCTTACTTTTAACTATATTATTCTAACTATTATTGAAATATTTTTCAAAATGGCACACGGAGAAAGTGAAATTTCTCTCAAAGTTTAATTCCCATGTAATTAACGATAAAACACGTCTGCACTTTGTAAAAAAAAAATATATATCGTATATACTTCATTATTCAACTAGACGAGCAGCTTAATAATCTTCTTGCAGGGATCATACGTTTAACTATTAACTACAAGTGTTTCAATCCCAATCATATTTCACTGTCGAGATTATAAATTAATACTTAACTCTTTGCTGTGATCACGTCACATGGAAATATCAAGATGAAATATTATAACTAAATTTCCATTTAACGATTCACACAGAACTATTTTAGAATTAAAATTTCATTTACATTTGTAGAATCCATTCTGGTATGATAATATATCTTCAATTTTATTTTACAATTGTCGCAGAGGTTAATTGCAATATACATACCTTTACATTACCTTTACATTAAATTCATAAAACAATAAATTTATCCAAAAACCACGAATAATTTTTAGAGTAATTAAAATCCCTTAAAAACCTCATCGAAATTTCTTAGATTCATCTCTTCAGTTCTGCCAAAAATATTTCACACCATATTAATTGCTGGATCATAATTTCATTAAATCACCAAGATAACCTAAACAAACTTTCCAAACTCTGTCAAAAATATTTAAAGCCGTACCAAAAACCACAAAGTCAAATGAACCACTCTTTGGCCATTTCTAATCCGACGATTAAATAAGAAAATAATATAGAACGAATACCACGCACAGTTTTCTCAACGCGCTTTCTCTTTCTCTCTGTCTCTGTCCGCGATCCTCTTCCTCCTATTCTTCTCTCTCTCTCTCTCTCTCTATCTCTCTTTCCTCTCTCTCTTCTTCATCTTCTAGCCTCTTTGTAATAAGATTCACCACCGACGATTTTTCTCCGACTGCTCCTTCCCTCTCCCCCTCCCCCTGTCTCTC